TATGTTACGGTACCATGTGTATACTCACTTGTCTGTTAAGGCTTACTTCTTTGTAAAGCATAATCACCAAATATATTTCAATAATCAAATCATCCTGCACGATGAAAATAATTCTAGTCAACCTACTAATGGTAACAATTCCTGACTCATTGAAGAATAACCCAATTAAGAATGCGCCTCAAAACCACAAAAACTCTTTTCGGCACTCAACTCCATTCTATTTCTTCTCCTATTCTCTCACCTTATTGTTAAGCATTCGTTTAATAATAATAATTTTTCAGACTGAAGAAAATATCAAAAAAGTACGCAAGAAAAAAACAAAGAAGGAATAGATTTTTCTGAAAGTCATTTTCACCGCTACAACTGTGTGCCAAATGAGAATCTTGAAATGTTTCGCGAATCTTTTTTTTTAAATGCAATGGAAGTGATAAATTATTCTTTGTGTCAATTTTTTTCTTCCTTTTTTTCTGTTCGCTTTTTTTTTAATATGTAAGAACGAAAAATTATTGAGTCATGAAGAAATCCACACATTACTTCAGGGAATGCGAAAGAGTGTTACAGAAATACGAAAAAAAAATTACTTCCTTTAAAAAGAGATAAAGTCTGTATTTCTGAATAAAAGTATCTTCCTTCCACCCGTCTTCCTTACGAAAATATTGTGAAATATTATGAATGAATAGGTAAAAGATGATTCATGTTAATTAATCTGCATAATAATTTATCCCACTTTTTTTTGTGCTATTACTGCTGCGGCATGATATCATCATGGTACAAACAGAGCCTGAGAGGCAGAATAAAAGCTTTTCTTCCGAACTTGCTTATCATATCATTCATCTCTTACAAAAATAAGAGAAAAGAAAAGAACAAAAAAAAAAATTAAATTATTTGCACCACAATGTCATCGTTCTCATCTTGAAAGGATCACAATTTTTCCACAACAATAAATATTATAAGCATTTATTTTTGGTTATTGGTTAGATGTATTAATAAATCAGCACATTAATTATCACATAAACTTTTTATGTTCACTAAAAATAACATCCAAAAAAGAAATGCGAGGAACGAAAAAATTGGTTAACATTTCGTAAGAAAAGAAAAACTATGTGGAACTACAAAAAATATTAAGCACTAAAAGCTCTTCGAAAAAGGCTTTTAAAAGCATTCACTACCTTCTTGCCAGTTCAAGCACCGAGAGAAAACTGAACAAGAATGAAAATGTTCATCCAAAATAAAAAAATTTTCTCTCTCCCAACAATATCCTTGCTGATTCATGACGTCATCGTTGTATCGTAACAAGAGAGGATGTGAGAGAAAGGAAAATGACATTCAACTTCCTGCAACAAAAGCAAAACACAGAACAGCCTATATACTATTGTACTACATGCCGCACAAACTTTTCTCAATGAAACTTATATCTATCATATGATGAGCATATACATGCGTGTATATTGCTTATATATATGAGTTTAGAAGAAATATAATGATTTGTGACATGCAATATTATGCTACAGACTTTCTCAATTAGACTCCAAAGATGATTTTCATTTCATGCTCAATTTCATACAGCTTAATCTAATAACTTTTAAACTTCATTATTTCTTTATATAGAACATGAAGGAATTTTTACTCTAATTGCCTCAAGAAAAAAAAATCATAAAAATAATACCTATCAAATATATATGCTTACCTCTGTGTTTATAGACATCCTTCGTATCGTTTTCAAAACTTTTTCTTTCCTTCATAAAAAGTTTTCTTGCTTCCTAATAAAGTTTTAAACAAAGCTAATTTTTTTAAGCAAAAAAAAAAGTTTTATCTTTTCATATACATACATGCTTAATTTTTGGTACCTAAAAATAATCAAACATCATTTTTCTCTTTAAGTATTGTCAATGTTGTAAGGATAACGTTGATTTTTTTTTGCACCTTTACTTGATTTCAAGAGATGGCGTTACGTGTTCAATTGAGCAGAAAATAGCATTGAGGACGTGATTTAATTCTTTCTGTGCAAACTTTGGACTTGCTTAATGCTCAATTTTGAGAGATTTGCATGAATTACAACACGAATAAGCTCTTTTTCCATTTCACCGTTCTAGTTACGAAGCTCAGCTCGTGTGTTGGGTGTAGTATTGATGTCTTGGGCATAGAATATGCCTCCTTTGCTAGGTTCACAAGGATATACTAGCATCTGAATGACTTTCTTACGGCATCTTGCGCACACGAATTGTGACTAGGTACATTGCAGGGTACATCAGGTCTCATGACGTACTCGTGTCTTTGCAATGTACAGAGCTTGCAAGTGGTTCGGATCCCACTATAAACTTGTAGGTCTAAAGGGTGTGGTACAATAGATTCTGTTTTAATTTTAATCGCAGTGCCTCCAGCTGAAAGGCTAGGCCCTTCACACATTATTATTATTATTATTAACAACTGAAAGATGTCGAAACCGGCTCTGCGAATTAAACTTTAAATCATTCTCTAAAATTGGCATAAAGAAGAAATTCAAAATATTCTAAAATTTTGTTTCTTTTTGTTCTACAAATGCTTCAAAGCATTAGAATACTTCTAAACACGTTAACATCTTATTTTATCAATGACATATCAATCTTACTAATACACCATTTAAAGTGCTGATGACAAGCACAGTCCAATATCGACATGATTTTTTTTGTCAGAAAATGAAGCAATAAATGTCAATATTAATCAGATAAGGTTCATTAAAGCTTCTTATATTTTTAAACACGATATTTGCAAAGATTATATGAATACCAAAAAGTGATGAGAATATGTGTGGAATATAAAATATCATGCAAATCAAACAAAGAATAAAGAATTTTTTATTTGCTGAAAGTATGAATGTTTTAAAATCTATTTTATATTAACTTACATGTTAAGATTTTTAATTTTACTGGATCAAAATTTGAGAGTTTAATTAGGTTGATTTGAATAAATACTTGTTTAATCAAAAGAAAATAAAGTGATAATAAGTACAGAACTAATCCTTATAAGTTTAAACAGCAGAAAATGTTAAAGTTGTTAAAATTTGGGTTTTTGTTTACTGAGATTGAATTTTACAAGTAAAACCAAATTCATTTTCTTAGAATTTGAAAATGTCAAAATTTGTGGAACTTACGCAGTCAATTAAATTATTAAATTTTGTATATGAATGAAGAAAATCATGATTCTCATCACTTCCTTAATTTTTAACCAAAAACTGCATTTAAGAGAAGTTTTTTGAATATGTTTTTTTTTTCGAACAAAGTGATTCACTTTAGAAATTCAAGTTCAGTAAACAAGACCTAAAATGTTCCTAATAACATTTTCTGTTGTCGAACGTAGCAGGAAATACCTTAACAATTTGAAAGTTTTCTTACGTCTCAAAATATTTGTCATCATGTTACCAATGAGAAAAGAAGCATAAACTTAAATACAAAGTGTGGAAGATATTAAGAAGAAGCAGGGAAAAGTTCATCACGGTAAGTGGAATGATCGATAAAAGTTTCCATCAATAAAACAGCACTTTAGTACCCTTTTCATAATTATTACTTTTATTATTATTTCTTTACGGTTTTGTAACTCTTTCATGTTCAACAATTAACACTTTTTGTTCTTTTTTTTCACTTAAAATGCATTCAAAATATTTTAAACATAATAAGTTAGTTTAACATTGTCACTTTATGGGGGAATGCTCTCATAAATTTAATTTATATAGTTTTGTATCATTTCTTTCTATTTATTACTGACATGCTCTTATATATCAGGCTCTTTATGTCATTTTGTTTAAAAATCGACGACAACGATTTAATTTATTATCATTATTACTCTTTGCTTTATTCTTTTCATATCTTGTATTATTGTATCTTATTATAGTAAATCTTTTAATATATGAATTTTATGAGATTATAAATATCAATAACTGGCTATATTTAGGATATAAACTCATATAAAAACAAAGGGTTAGAATTTATCACCGGAATCGCTTCTTTCTTCTGTTATATTTTTAATTTCAAGCTTCCTAGTCAGTTTTTGTTTGGATTAATCAGAGGTTCCCAAATTGTGTGCTACTGAACTTAGCAGTATTTAAGGTGCAACTTTATTCCTGATATTCCTTAAATCCTAGCTTTTAGATTCAAAAATTAATCGAACTCTCACGATTTTCATTCGTATGTCTTTACAACTGAGCTTTTTAAGGGTTGCTAACCCTAATAGTGTCTTTAACAAGAACCTCAGATTAAGCAAGACAATTGACACTTGAATAACGCTGGCATCATTTATATATTAACCTCAAACCACTCTAATGTATGGCAGTATTTTTATTGATTCTTTAATCCTCCCCTTTGGTAGGTTGCAATATATCGCGATTGAACTGAGATCCCCAAAGCTTTCTCTTTTATTCTCAATAAAAATAAAAATTTATATCCGTAAAGTTTAATGATGCTGAATTTGATAATGGCTATTAAACCTAATTTTTCATTTCAACCGTCATGATAAATTCTGAACCTCGAAATAAATTTGTGGAGGACAAACAAGTAAACATGTCTGCGTAATTGACCAACAATTTGTAAATGTATAGTACTTCCAACTGAACAAATTGACAATTATATTTTATTAAAATTGACATATTATATATTATTTTTGTGGTGTCTTTCGTTCTTTTTTTTTATATCATATTAAAGCGCATTTCCCAAACAGAACTGCACTGATGTATGCGTATGCTTTTTATTAAGAAGAATTAAACTATTAAGGAAACAAAGTAGTTTCGTGCTAAAGAAAGCGCAACTGAGATTATTTATAGCTATTTGAACGAAAATTAATACTGATCATTGCATTTCTTCTGTCTCACTGTGTCACATATCATTTGATGAGATGATAAGGAATGTAAACTAGTGTAAAATTGCATAGACTATTAGATATATAGATTTTTAAAAAAATTAATATCTTTTTCAAATTTATATTTTAAATTAATATTGTCTGCATTAGATTTAATTGTCATTCACTAAAATGTCTTTACAGCATAATATCATCTTGCTTGTAGATAGTTACTTATTACTTTATTACTTTTTTTTTGTTGTTTAAAATGCTCTCAAATTTCTCATATATTTTGAAAGTAAGTCATAATGAAGATTTCTCATATAATATGTGTGTATGTATAATAGCAGGAAAAATTTAAGGAATTACTAATAAGTAGAGTTAATAATTGTAATATAATTGAAATTTGTCACTATATGAGGAATCATTGTATTTTCAAGGTAAATTATTTAGGCATTATTATTCGTTTTATCATGTTTCTATAGAAGCTTCTCGCCATTGTATGTGTGATTCTATCTTAAAACCATCGCATTTAGTACAAATATTACATTGTAAATTATCAGTACATGCACTCACGTCTCCATTCTCTGTGACTCTTTAGTAACTGCTAGTACATTCAGGCAGATTCATCTTACCGAACACATTTAACTCATATAGCGATGCTAATGTAATGAAGAATACGTACCAGAACATCAGGATGAAACCTTTGAGAAATAAAGTAAAGTTAAATTAGTTCATGGGTGGGCTGATAAAACTCTTAGGATAGATATTTAACAGAGCTATCTGATAGACATACAAGATACATATATCAAACTATACAAATGATTATAATATTATACTTCCAAAGTGAATAGCTCAAAGTTAAGAAGTCATTTAAATTCAATGTCCATAAAATGCTACCTCACACCAACCATTTCCAACACAATATTTTCATCAAGTTATAATTACCTAATTTCTTGTCCAATTTCCATGAATTCATATGAATTGCGAACAGGAAGAAGAATACTGTCGACAACAGAGACAATGTCGAATAAATTAATCCTTTTGAAATGACATTGACATGTGATCCTGGGACAATGATAGCTGTCTGAATGAACCTGTAATTTATCACAATTAAAATTATTGCATTTTTACTATCACGCACAGACAATGTCAGTTGTTATTGCTTACCAAGGTAATCCCAAACACACGAGTATATCAAAAACGTTTGATCCTATAGCATTTGATACTGCCATATCTCCATACCCTTCTTTAATGACTGCGATAGAGCTCAATGCATCAGGGACGCTTACACCAGCTAAAATATTGATAATAAAAAAATTTAAACCATGATACTGTTAAAGTAAGAAGTTTTATGCATACCTGCGACAAATGTAAGACCCATCACGGTGTCTGGAATTCCCAAAGTGAATCCAATAATTGTTATCATCCACACCATAAAGTAGCTATAAAACGAAATCCATACCATTGAGACGAGGAATGTTAAAGGATAATAATTTTTATATTGCTCCTTTTTAACATCCGGCATTGTTATGCGACATAAGTAGTGAATTGGAAATACAATGTACCAGCTTATTATCGTTAGTAAGTCTGCATTTTCGGGCTTAATTAAGGGATCAGGTAATTCAGGACGATTTTCTTTGGGCTTATAGTACTGTTCATTTGTTTGCTGAACAACAGTTGTAGACACTGGAGTTGCGGCTTTAGCTGGTTCAGACGTGTCATTTTCGGCTTCACTCTTAATATATCCATAATTTTGAGCTCCATCATCACCCCATGAGTCATAATTTGAATTCGAATTCCATGAATTTACAGAGGGTGTTGCTTTTACGGCCGATTGACTATCCTCATTCCATACCGAGTTTGGATCCCAGCTCGCATTGGTATCATAATTATTTTCTGGCTGTTTTGTGGCCGCATCATTCAATTCCTGTTGTGGACTTGTGGCGTCAGCATTTTGTATACCCTGATAAGACGAATCAGGAACATTTTTGAAAGTTACCAAAGACGATTGTTCTTCACGGGTGGGCAGTTTTATTGGGAGTCGTAAGACATATGGCTGAATTAATTTCTCCAAAGTCGTATTAAAGTGTAATGCAACACAATAAAATACATAGCATATTAACATGAAAAGAGCTTCCGGCCATGAAATGACTTCATTGCATATGATAACAAGCATGACAAGGATTGAAAATGAATAGCAAGCACAATCACGAACTAAGGGCCACCAATTTAATTGTGATACTGTTCCCGAGCATAAAGCACAAACCGATATAACAAACATAATGCTGCAAGGATAGTTTTAATTGGTATTAATTAAGGGTCATTAGAATAAAAATAAAGCATGATAAATTACTTAAAAACTGCAGATCCTATAACTCCGGAAACACCGATATCGTCCTTTGCAAAAAATACACCAATTATTACAGTCGCTAACTCTGGTGCCGAAGAACCAGCTGCCATAAAACTAGAGAAAGAGGATAAGAAGATAGGATATCAAAAGTTAATAGTCACAATCTACTTGAAATTCAATAAACGTACGTAGCACCAGCAACATCCGGTGATAATTTTAGCTCTTCACAAATTCTATCTAAACTTGATACAAAGTAATCATCACAAACGATTGCCAGACCCAGGAAAGTAAAGATTGCAACTAGTATATGAATGATAATCCCTCCATGCTGTAAAAAAATAATCCATTCATAAATTATCAAAGGACAGAAGAAGAAGAAGAAGAGAAATGAGAGATAAATGAGCATACCTTACGTAGTGTTGCGCTCATGAGTGGAGGTGGAAATTGTTCAATTGCCGGTGGTGCACAATCAGGTCGACGAGGTCTCATTGTGGGGTATCCATGATGATTTAATCCTGTACTCGCAGTAGATGAAATATTTAGGGTTGCTGATGTAGATTCCTTCAATGAATGAAAATTATTATGAGAAGCTTCCTTTAAATTACTTGAAAATTCATATTAATATACCTCGAAAGTCTCTGGTGTTACTGTTGGCTCATAAGTACCGCTAAAAGCATTTTCTGATGTCTCGGGTAATGTTGTAACAGCCGAATAAGCATAATAACTCGAGTAAATGATAATAAACAATAAAATTTGTACATATCTATTCCGTCTTGGGCGCGAACGACTTATCATGATTCGATATTATTTTAACAATAATCAATGCTTCTAATTCTGGAAATGAGAAAAGGAAATTTGATATTGTCAAACTTGGCACACACAAACATTTTCACGAAAAAAAAAAGTCTTTAATGAATTTCTTTTTGGGTGTCTGGCAATTATTATTCTATGACGTATTATCAGTTCTTCTTTTAACAATATAAGGAATCATTAATTTTCGAGTGTATCGTATGTACTAAAAACTCGTATTCGATTCTAGAGAATTTCCTCTGATTTGCTGTTCTGGTTCTGCGGTATGTCTCTTTAATATTTAAATATGTCTAGCTATGTAACTAGGTTTCTGTATGATGTCTATGTGATGTCAACAAGGGACGCTTTGGTCCTTAATATTCCGAACTGGCAGAAGGTTTCAATGAATAGAGCTGTCTTTATACGATCTCTGAACGTGGCAATAGTCCCACGTGCACTACAGCATGTAGTAATGTGGATGGCTTAATTCCTAACACTTACACAATTAAACAAGTAGGTTTACTGTATCTGCTATTATGTGAATCAACTTTTACATGAGCTTTAATTGAAATTATTCAAATCAAAGCTTCCAAATTGCAAAAAAAAACTTTAAGACAATGTTAACCTTTAAAACGAAAACCGCCATTAGCAGTAAAACCTTTAAACTTTACGTTATAAACAGATTTTCAAAGATTAGAAAAGAAATTGTGGCTGCACGAATTTTTAAAATAAAGAAATTTCATGTAGGAGTCAATAGAGAAGTTGTGCTCTAGGCAACGTTACATGATGGAAAGCGTCAAGAAGGGTTGATTTTGAATGAAAGTTTCGAAATTCACTGAATTGTGTAATTGGTAAAAACGTTACCTGAAAAAATGAAACAAGAACCTTCATTTATACAGAACTAAAATAGAATTAATTTTTTGTGAGCCTCTCAATATCAAACACATAAATCTATCCGAGGCATATATTGAAATTTCTCTCAAAAAAGGTTTCATTTATGGAAAAGAGGAATCGATTATCAAAGCGATTAAAAGCGCTATCGCATGTATTATAGGAAAGATAGGATATGTAAGCACAGCTAGTGTTTAAATAGAATCATAGTGGACTGTAGAAAAGAACATCTACAAATCACAAACTTACAACTTGAAAATTTCTCAATGAAAAAATATTGATCATGACGAAAAACTTAAGGATAGAAAGAAGGGAAGGAATAAATAAATTGTGATATAAATAGGAAGAGATGAAGATCACGAGAGTCACAAAAGGAAATGAAAAATATTTTTAATAAAAAAAAAACGAATCTTTGTAATAGTCATGATGATGAAATCAAGGAAAATGCTTGGATTGAAAATAATCAATATTTTTTCTATTTTCTGTTTTTCTTCCTTGATTCCATTTATATCCTTAACTTTCTCTTTTATATTAGTTGAAATTTTAAGTAGCATGAAGAATTGCCTTGATGCATCTTTTTAATAAGGCCGTTGAAATTTGATTAATCCCTTCAATTATCCCTAATCATTCTTACTTCCACTACCCCATAATCAACTCACTTTCTTGATGATTTTTTCTCTGTTATATATATTATATCCTTAACTCAGTATTATGATGGAAATATGTCTATATGTAGTCACTACACAGCAAATTTTAATTGAACATTGTTCTTTATTAACTTTTTAGTTGATTTTTTTAAGAATTGACAACATTAGATTCACATTAAAACTTAATTAAATGTATTTGAATAAGATGCGATTATTTAAAATATCGCGAAAAATGAACAGAAAAGATTTTTTACTATGATTAAGACTAGAGTAAATTTTTTACTCTGAAAAACTTTCTGCTCGAAAAGCTTTTGACTGCTATAGAAAGAAACGGACGTCTTATCTGAGAGAAAAAAAAAGATTGATGATTTTTTTTTTCTCACGGAACATGCGCATGACATGAAGATGACTATTTAGTCACATTTATTCTTGGGTTGGTGACTCTATTGCCTTTTTGTGGCCGGTTCATGGTTATTTCCACCTTCTGAGAGCTATTTTTAGATGCGAATATAAAAGGATCGAGTTGCTAAGGTAGTTGTTTGTTTATTACGTCTATCGTTTATGTAAGTAACCACGATTTAATTTACATCACTAGCAAACGATCCCTTTAAAAAAAAACTTCAAACGTTGTAAATGTTACCAACCCAATGCTCTCGCTACACATGGAAAATCTTTCTCTTTTATCAAGTTCACACATCATTGGAAATCCATGAATATGACTCTTGCTAGTCTCTTCCTTCTTATTCGTTACCTTTTAGTACAATGAATATCCTAAAATATATAAACGAGTAGGAAGGAATTTATGGTATGAGTTAACGTTAAGAGCTGCCATAAGTAATCATTTTTGACTGCTCATTTTTATTAAACGCATATTAATAAATTAGTTTGTTGAACAATTTAATGACTAATTATTATTACATCTAATATATGTATAGAAAATAAAACTTTTTAATTGTGAGAAAACATTTAAGGCACAAACAACGATAGTCAGTTAATACTAAAATAAGTAAGAAATTAATTGGCCACAATCAAATTATTCGTTCGTGATTCGTTGAGTCAATTTTAGGCGATATTTCGGTATTTGGTGAAGAGATTGTAGAGACAACGAAGTGTTGACTTAAGATCCATATTGACGATATCTTCGGGACGAGCTTTTGGCTTCGCTAATCCGACATCCTGCATTAAATCAAATGAGAATGCAACATTATGAATCATTTGTTCGTTGTCTCTTGGAGTCAAATGAAATTCATGTAGAGGCACAAAAAATCCACCGAGTAGACCCATAAGAAGGCACAAGTAGACACCATCTCGAAAGTCCGATCCTAAATCAACAACTTCGAAGTTAAGCTTATTCAAGTGCTTATTGACAAAAGTGACTAGTGATTTTTTAACGACTTGAAGCTTTTCCGGAGCATGATCGAAGAGAGTATCAAATGCATCCCTTTCACATCTCATTCCAACATCCTCATAGACTGCAGTTATTTGTTCCTCGAATTTCCTAAGCAAATAGAAATTTGATAAAAACATTAAGCACCACAACAATATCTAAAAGTCTTACTCGGCTGTCAATTTGGGGCCACTTTTTTTAACGATAACAGTCGTAACTGAAACATTCTCTGGAAGACGAATCGGAGCCCTAAAATGACGAACTAGAGCAACAAGAAGATGCAATATGGCAACAACGTTTTTAGAATGAACACTTTCGACTGTCCACTTTGGATTTGTGTGATGAAAACCCAATGTCTAAAAATAAGTCAATGTAATTAATGCCACTTCCACATTATATGATTGTTGTAATCTTACATGATTGACGGCATTAAGGACGACTGAGAGTTTTTGTTTTTGCCCTTCTTCAGATTGAGTTACTTCCAATACATTCAACGTATTTCCAGTCAATTTCTCCCATAATTTATGGAGAACTTGACCATCGTACAAATCTTGTTCAATATTGGTGACAATAATTCTCTCCTCAACAAGTTCATCATTCATCCAATCAGTCAAAACTTGAAGTAAGTCCCGAACATTTGGTTGATTAAGACATTGTGGCTGAATGATTGAACGTTGCTCATTATCCTCTAAATTGTAATCTTCTGGAGGAATTTCAGGTGCATTTGGTTTCCCAGGACTATCAATTGCATACTTTCCTTCTTCCTGGACCTCTTGAACTAAATGAATGATGAAAATATAAATATAAAAAATTCTTAGTTTTATTCTTTAAAAAGACCTTGATTTTATATCTCATTTCCATTTTTGGAAGTAATTCTCTAAAAATCATTGAATGACTCATTGACGACGCTAAATACCTTCCTTGATCTTCTTCTTTCTGCCTAGCGTTGAGAATTTCTCCCAGAATGAGGAATCATCCTTATTTTGATCATAGTTAAATTTTGCTTGAGCACTAGGCGACTTTGGTGACTGGGCCATTTTCAGCTATTAATTATGCTTGCTTTTTGGGAATATTATCAGATTCCAAAACTTAAGACCTTTATGAAGCTTAATTGAATTGAATATTAGGTAAATACACTAAAATAACTCGTCAAATTAAAAATTGCAGCACAGACTTTCTAAAGAAAACACCCTCATAAACACAACCATACAATACGTACGGTTTTCGCAATTGTGCACATTCGGGTCAAAAATAGATAAATCCACAAATTATAAACTGCTGTAAACACTTTAAAAATTTTAAACATGTGTGTACGTTGATGATCAGAAGCTAGCCTTTCATGCACTACGTTGTGGTCTTATGAATAACGTGTATGGTTCTCATACATTTACATGGGTCATAACGGGTTTAAAAAATTCAAACTCTAGACAGACAGACAAATACTGACTCTTAACAGATTTATTTTTTGAAATTCCAAAAATTAAGATTCGCGCCTTTCTATAGGTTTTCTTAGCTTAATTAAGTGTTTTAAGGATAGTAAAATGCAAAAGAGTATATTATCATTCTTTTCAAAGAAGCCAGAGTCGAAGGAAAGTGATAAAAGGTGAAAAATGTTTGCTTTACGAAGAATACTTAATTATAGTGTAAATATAAGTCGAAGCTCTTTAGTAGTTATTCAGTTCCAAAAGAGACTAGTGTATAACAGTTTACTATTACTTTCTAAACAATATAGTCCCGATTCATCACCAATTAAGATTGTTTCTAAAAAGAAAAGAAAAATTTCATCATCCAGTGAAGAAGATGAAGTGACCAAAAAGGAAGCATCTCCGGTTCATAAGAAAAAGTAAGCTCATTAATTTATACAATATCCTATTAAACAATTAAGAATGCCTTGTTACAGAGCGGTGGAATCAAAAACCAAGACTCCACAAAGCAACTCAAAGAAGAGAACGCCGACTAGTAAATCAAAGCCAAAAATCACATCACCTGCTTTAAAAGTTAAGGAAGAAAAGACTCCCGAGAAGAAAACGCCTAAAACTGAATCTGAATTACCTGAAAATAAGCCAATTAATGGACAGATAGATGAAGAGTTTAAGCATGAAGATAAGGAGATTGAAGACAGTCCAAAAAAAGAAGAACAGAATGTTATGAAGCTTCAGAGCGCTGGATCTGGTCAAAAAGGCTCGGACTACAATCCAGGAAAGAAACATTATCATCCCATTAAAGATGCATTCTGGAAGAAGGGAGAAAAGTAAGTTAAGTTAAATTTAAAAATGTTGTTAGCATCTTAAAGTTAATTCATACCTTTCAGAACTCCATATTTGGCTATTGCGAAAACATTTGAGATCATTGAAGAGAACAGCAGTAGATTAAGAATGATTGAGATATTAAGCAATTACTTCCGATCAGTTATAGTTTTAAGTCCAAATGATTTGTTGCCAAGTGTCTATCTATGTTTAAATCAAGTAGCACCAGCCTTTGAAGGTCTTGAATTGGGTGTTGCTGAGACGAATATTATGAAGGCAATTGCACAGACAACAGGAAGAAGTTTACAACAAATTAAGAGTGATTCTCAACAAATTGGTGATCTGGGAGTTGTTGCTGAGAGATCCAGAAGTAATCAAAGAATGATGTTCACGCCTACTCCACATACAGTCGAAAGTATGTTTAATAAACTTAAATCAATTGCTAAAATGAGTGGTGCCACATCAATGCAAAAGAAAGTAGATACAATTAAAGGAATTTTCGTTGCATGTAGACATTCAGAAGCAAGATATTTCGTACGCTCACTACTTGGCAAATTACGCATTGGACTAGCTGAACAATCATTACTTCAAGCTTTATCACAAGCTGTTACTTTAACGCCACCTTTGGAAAATAAAAAGGAGCCTTATAATGTTAATGTCATGTCTGACAAAAATGAAGCAACAATCAAGTTAAAGGTTGAGAAAAATGCTCTCATTTTAAAGACTGTTTTTTGCAGATGTCCTGATTATGACCAAATTGTAGGAATTTTAATTGATGAAGGAATTAAGGCATTGCTAGAAAAATGTAAAATGAAGCCTGGTGTTCCATTAAAGCCTATGTTAGCTCAACCGACAAAAGGTGTTCATGAAGTTCTCGAGCGTTTTGACTCGATTGAGTTCACTAGTGAATGGAAGTATGATGGAGAAAGAGCTCAAATTCATATGGACGAGAATGGAGTTATAAGCATTTATAGTAGAAATCAAGAAAATAATACATCAAAATATCCAGACATAATATCAAGGATATCATTAACAACAAAAGATAGTGTCAAGTCGTTCATATTAGATTGTGAAGCTGTTGCATGGGACCAAGAAAGGAAGCAAATTTTACCATTCCAGGTTCTATCGACTAGAAAACGAAAAGATGCAAATGAAGCTGAAATTAAGGTTCAAGTTTGTGTCTACATGTTTGATTTGCTTTATTTTAATGGAGAATCTCTTGTCGAGAATCCATTTTCCAAAAGACGTGACTTACTTTATGAACATTTCAACGAAGTAGAAGGAGCTTGGAAATTTGCTACCAAATTGGATACCAGCGATATGAATGAATTACATCTTTTCCTAGATGAAGCAGTTAAAGGAAATTGTGAAGGATTAATGGTTAAAACGCTCGACAAGGAAGCAACATACGAAATTGCTAAAAGATCAAGGAACTGGCTTAAACTTAAGAAAGATTATTTGTCTGGTGTTGGCGATTCACTTGATTTAGTCGTTTTAGGTGGCTATAGAGGTAAAGGCAAGCGAACTGGAATGTATGGTGGTTTCTTGTTGGGATGCTATGATCAAGAAAATGATGAATATCAAAGTATCTGTAAAATTGGAACTGGATTTAGTGACGAGGACCTAAAAGCTCATTCTAATTTCTTCAAAGACAACATTATTAAGGAACCTCGTTCATATTATCGTTTTGATTCAAGCTTAACACCTGATGACTGGTTTGATGTCGTTCAAGTTTGGGAAGTTAAATGTGCTGATTTATCATTATCTCCAATTCATAAAGCAGCCAATGGAATCGTTGATCCTGAAAAGGGAATTTCATTAAGATTTCCTCGTTTCATTCGAATCCGGGACGATAAAAAGGTTGAAGATTCGACATCAGCAAAGCAAGTTGCAGACATGTATCAGAATCAAGATCAGATCAAAAATCAACAGACACATAGGGATGCTGAAGAAGATTTCTATTGAATAAAAAAAAGACAAGGCTCGATTTATTTCATATTTCAAAAAATTATTTTATTTTAAAAAGATTATCTCCTCAAAAAAATAATAAAAAGCACACATTCATACTTCTTACATACTCAACTTACTCCTGATTTTTATTAATAATACATTACATTTCGGATATAAAGAAGAATAAAGATGATTTATTAATGCATTCATTACTTGGTTGTCATTATTGATAGGATTATTTCCTGTACCACCACCACTATTCTGTTGATTCATCCATGACAAAAAACTATTACTTGAATTATTAAAACCACCCTAAGATTATACAGAGTAGAGAATAATGGATAAGAGGACATGTTAATTAGATCTTACAAAAAGACAACGATTTTAAAACTATTATCGTTATACGGTAGCTTACCTGATCATTGTTTCCTTGTCCCTGCATTCCATTTAACAAGCCCCATTGAATAAGGGCTGCTGCAACAATTGCTGGATTCATTGGTAAGTTTAAAGCGTTTAATCCAACTCCTAGAAAAACTTTTTAAAAAACCACGTTTTACCCGTGGACTAAAAAGTAGAAAATAACTTTTATATTGGGTTCAAAGGATATTGGTTTGAAAATTTGAGATTGATTTGAAAGTTTCATACTTAAGTCATGACCATACATGAATTGCAAATTTGTTCACTTCGACCATATCGTATAGTTCTACATCTTAAAACGTGGGCGCAATCAAAAATGGTGTATATGTGGAAAGCTTAAATTTCATATAAATGCGCCCACGTTTTAAGATGTAGAACTATACGATATGGTCGAAGTGAACAAATTTGCAATTCATGTATTGTGATGACTTAAGTATGAAACTTTCAAATCAATCTCAAATTTTCAAACAAATATCCTTTGAACCCAATTAAAAAAGTTATTTTCTACTTTTTAGTCCACGGGTAAAAACGTGGTTTTTTAAAAAGTTTTTTTTATAAAGTATTTATTTTCTACTTTTTAGTTTTAAAAAATTATTTAAAGTATCCATCGATCAGCATTAGTTTGTAAACAAGACTCTTACCACAGAAAGTCTTCATCCATTAGCTGTGCTATCGCACAGCATAAGTTTGTAAACTAGAATCAAATCATAGAATAATAATAATAATGTGTAAAGGGCCCAGCCTTTCAGCTGGAGGCACTGCGATTCAAATTAGAACAGAATCTATTGTACCACACCCTTTAGACCTACAGTTAATAGTGGGATCCGAACCACTTGCAAGCTCTGCACATTGCAAAGACACGAGTACGTCATAAGACCTGATGTACCCTGCAATGTACCTTGTCACAATTATGTGCGCAAGATGCCGTAAGAAAGTCATTCAGATGCTAGTATATCCTTGTGAACCTAGCAAAGTAGGCATATTCTATGCCAAAGACATCAATACTACACCCAACACACGAGCTGAGCTTCGTAACTAGAACGGTGAAATGGAAAAAGAGCTTCGAAAATTAGACATGGCCTGGGATTGAAATCATAGAAAGTGTTATAACGTATTTTTTGTTATTCAAACTTATAACGGCTTTTTGAAATTTATAATAATTGAAAGTTGTGCATATATAATATAAAAATAAGCTAAGCCTTAAAAAGTAAAAAATTTAATTCAATTGAACTATAATAAAGCAGTTTTAAATTTCCAAAATGCTTGAATATTGTATTGTCACCGGAAAAAAAGTGCATGCAAAATTTCAGCTCGATTGGAGCACCAGAAGTGGTCGAAAAATTGATCACAAGATTAGACCTTGACAAACAGATAAACAGATAAGAAAGCAAGTTAAGAAAAACGTGTTAATAAAAGAAAATATCGATTTTATGTCTATATTAGCATTCTTTATCATTTATTATATCTAGATATGTTTTAAAATGCAATTTAAAGCATTTTTGGTTTCGATTATAGAAGGCTATTTTCAGAAAGATTTCGATTTTATATCTAAATTAGCATTCTTTATCATTTATTATATCTGGATATGTTTTAAAATGCAATTTAAAGCATTTTTGGCTTTGATTATAGAAAGCTATTTTCAGAAAAATATCGATTTTATATCTATATTAGCTTTCTTTATCATTTATAATATCTAGATATGTTTTAAAATGCAATTTAAAGCATTTTTGGTTTCGATTATAGAAGGCTATTTTCAGAAAGATTTCGATTTTATATCTAAATTAGCATTCTTTATCATTTATTATATCTGGATATGTTTTAAAATGCAATTTAAAGCATTTTTGGTTTCGATTATAGAAGGCTATTTTCAGAAAGATTTCGATTTTATATCTATATTAGCATTCTTTATCATTTATTATACCTAGATATGTTTTAAAATGCAATTTAAAGCATTTTTGGCTTTGATTATAGAAGGCTATTTTCAGAAAGATTTCGATTTTATATCTATATTAGCTTTCTTTATCATTTATAATATCTAGATATGTTTTAAAATGCAATTTAAAGCATTTTTGGTTTCGATTATAGAAGGCTATTTTCAGAAAGATTTCGATTTTATATCTATATTAGCATTCTTTATCATTTATTATATCTAGATATGTTTTAAAATGCAATTTAAAGCATTTTTTGGTTTCGATTATAGAAGGCTATTTTCAGAAAGATTTCGATTTTATATCTATATTAGCATTCTTTATCATTTATTATATCTAGATATGTTTTAAAATGCAATTTAAAGCATTTTTGGTTTCGATTATAGAAGGCTATTTTCAGAAAGATTTCGATTTTATATCTATATTAGCATTCTTTATCATTTATTATATCTAGATATGTTTTAAAATGCAATTTAAAGCATTTTTGGTTTCGATTATAGAAGGCTATTTTCAGAAAGATTTCGATTTTATATCTATATTAGCATTCTTTATCATTTATTATATCTAGATATGTTTTAAAATGCAATTTAAAGCATTTTTGGTTTCGATTATAGAAAGCTATTTTCAGAAAGATTTCGATTTTATATCTATATTAGCATTCTTTATCATTTATTATATCTAGATATGTTTTAAAATGCAATTTAAAGCATTTTTGGTTTCGATTATAGAAGGCTATTTTCAGAAAGATTTCGATTTTATATCTATATTAGCATTCTTTATCATTTATTATATCTAGATATGTTTTAAAATGCAATTTAAAGCATTTTTGGTTTCGATTATAGAAGGCTATTTTCAGAAAGATTTCGATTTTATATCTAAATTAGCATTCTTTATCATTTATTATATCTAGATATGTTTTAAAATGCAATTTAAAGCATTTTTGGTTTCGATTATAGAAGGCTATTTTCAGAAAGATTTCGATTTTATATCTATATTAGCATTCTTTATCATTTATTATATCTGGATATGTTTTAAAATGCAATTTAAAGCATTTTTGGCTTTGATTATAGAAAGCTATTTTCAGAAAAATATCGATTTTATATCTATATTAGCTTTCTTTATCATTTATAATATCTAGATATGTTTTAAAATGCAATTTAAAGCATTTTTGGTTTCGATTATAGAAAGCTATTTTCAGAAAGATTTCGATTTTATATCTATATTAGCATTCTTTTTCATTTATTATATCTAGATATGTTTTAAAATGCAATTTAAAGCATTTTTGGTTTCGATTATAGAAGGCTATTTTCAGAAAGATTTCGATTTTATATCTATATTAGCATTCTTTATCATTTATTATATCTAGATATGTTTTAAAATGCAATTTAAAGCATTTTTGGTTTCGATTATAGAAGGCTATTTTCAGAAAGATTTCGATTTTATATCTATATTAGCATTCTTTATCATTTATTATATCTAGATATGTTTTAAAATGCAATTTAAAGCATTTTTGGTTTCGATTATAGAAGGCTATTTTCAGAAAGATTTCGATTTTATATCTATATTAGCATTCTTTATCATTTATTATATCTAGATATGTTTTAAAATGCAATTTAAAGCATTTTTGGTTTCGATTATAGAAAGCTATTTTCAGAAAGATTTCGATTTTATATCTATATTAGCATTCTTTATCATTTATTATATCTAGATATGTTTTAAAATGCAATTTAAAGCATTTTTGGTTTCGATTATAGAAGGCTATTTTCAGAAAGATTTCGATTTTATATCTATATTAGCATTCTTTATCATTTATTATATCTAGATATGTTTTAAAATGCAATTTAAAGCATTTTTGGTTTCGATTATAGAAGGCTATTTTCAGAAAGATTTCGATTTTATATCTAAATTAGCATTCTTTATCATTTATTATATCTGGATATGTTTTAAAATGCAATTTAAAGCATTTTTGGTTTATATTATTCAAATTCAAATTCAAATTAGAGGTTTATTGATACCTAACGGTAGTTTCATTAATTTACAGTGTTGTAGTATAATTCGTTTTGTAAGGATTTCATATGGTATAATACAAATGGGAGTTTCATAAGTGGCAGTGATTACATTCATTTGTTAGGAGCTTCTAAAATAGGCGTGCCAAATGCTAGTTAATAACTTTTTTTAATTTTGTTAACGACACTTTTAATTTTTGGCCTAATAGATTTTCTATTGTTATGATCAAGAATCGGGCGAAAACCCATGGATAAGTTCGTTTCTTCTGTGTGGGATATTTCTCTAGGCAGCAGCCGGTCAAAGATTGAGGGCGTTTTAGATTTGCGAGAAGAGGTAGCGGTGCGAGAAGACGTGACGGTGCAAGAAGAGATAGCGATGCGATTAGAAGAACCAATGCGACTTTTGTTTATTGCAGGTTTAATATTTGAGGTGCTTCTAGGACATGAATCATTTGTAGGACGACTAGCAATCTTTGAAGATTTTTCGATAATGGACATTTCATTAACTTCAGACTGTAGAATATCATTTGTTGCTATATAATCCCAAAAATTGGAATATTCACGACCAGAATCAATATGATAGTCAATTCTGGATTTAAGCATGGTCGGAATGATATGAAAAGTGCTGCCTAAAAATGAAACAGGTCCGTACAGATCCTTTAATGTACAAAGGAGACGATTTGTGATGTCGGAGCGCTTTAGAAGAAATCGTAAGTTATGTGTATCGTCATCACTAACTTCCAATCTTACACCATAGACCAGCTTTATGTCCAATCGATTTACATCATCTCTATGTTTGAGAAATTTAAAAATTGTCTTAGATGGATCGTCTCGTAGAGAAGAAGCACAAACATTGGTAATGTTTTTATTACACAATCCAAACGGATGGAAATTGTCTTGACATGGAAAATTTATCATCGAAGATCCTGGTAGAACTACTAGAAAGACTAATAGATTTTTAATGATTAGATTAGTTTTGCCTTTAAGAATTCTGAAAATATCCAATTGGCTTTCGGGACTTAATTTCATATTATAATGACGTTCTTCAAACAATTTCACTAGCCATACATTTAGCTGACTATTATTGGAAATTTCGAATAGAACGGATTTAGGTTTGAAACTAAGGCCGCAAACATCCAGTTGCTTTTCAGTGATCAGAAAATCGGCAAGTTCGGTGGCTGATGGTAATGGATTTGCTCCTTTCGTGAAAATTTTAAGCACAACATTGTCTGAGGATACGGTTTTGCTCTTCGTGTTGTCGGAAAATGACAAATCCTGATCAGTTGCATAAATTTGCAAAATATCATCACTAGATAAATCATCCATTCTCAAAAAAAGCCTGAAATAATCACTAATTTATAAAGAAAAGTTCACAGATTATAGAACTGTTTAATTTCACAGATATTCGCGTAAATTTGTAGTATCCAAAAATAAGGAGGAAGTTATGTAAATACAGAGTATAGTTCGATACCCTTGAAGTTCAAAATTAACTCAAGGATTTTGCTGATTGTTGCTGTAAAAGTTCACCAGGAAGTTCCGAAGGGGCTTGGTACCTTCGTTGTTTATAAACATAATTATTTTTATGTTTTTGTTGGGTTTTGAAATTAATTAAAAGACAGGTTTAGATGTTTAGATCTTGAGATTTCTGGCTGTAAACTGACCGTGCTTAATAAGTGATGAATTACGTTCCAGTAAGTATTTCTTCAGTTGACTTTTAAAGAGATGAAAATTTTTTTCTAATTTTAAGTTGTCAGGTAACTGATTATATAATTTACAGCCTGTATGCGTAATATCGTCTATCATTATTTTTTTTTTAGCTCTGACCAATAGCAAGTCACGGCTTCTGTTACTTTTTAGTTTTTCGACTTTTGGAAGTGAACCGTCTTTACACATAAGACTTTTTTTCACCATACAGATGGTTGTGTGATAGATTATGCCGACTACAGGAAGAATATGTTTGGCTTGCTTGGTGAAAAGATCACTGGATGAATACAGGTATGGTAAATCATATATAATTCTTAGTGCTCTTGACTGTAGTCTTTGGACTCTGTCGATGTCGATAGATCTGGCACGTAGAAGAGCGAAGCTACAATAATTAATGTGAGACTGGATATCTGAGTGAAAGAATTTTAACATAGATTGTGCAGAAACATGATTTCTAAGGTTGTATAAAGCACTAATGCCAGATGCAATGGATTTACAAATGTTTTGAATCTGTCCAGGCATCTTTAACTCAGAATCTAAGAGAAATCCAAGATAAAGTAGTTCCTTAGTCTCAATTAGGCTTTCATTAATTAGAAAGTCTTTAATATCATTCTCAATATCCCCAAGTGCCATGAATTGTGATTTTTGTATGTTGACGCTTAAACCATTCTGTTGATAGTAAGTAGATATTACATTCAGATCAGTTTTAAGACTTATTAAGTTCTCATTCTTGTCGATTTTGTTGAGTGGAAAGATTAGAAGCAAATCATCTGCATACTTGAGAAGCTTGGCATGCGTAATAAGTGATGATATATCGTTAATTAATAGATTGAACAACAGAGGTCCTAAATTTGATCCTTGTGGTACTCCTTTAAGAACTAGACCGATAAAGCTGAGTACATCACCGTATTTCACGACTTGCGACCGATTTGATAAGAAGCTTTCAATCAACTCAAAAGCTTTTCCTCTGAAACCCATGAAATTTAGCTTGCGTAAAAGAATTTTATGGTCGACTGAGTCAAAAGCCTTGCTAATGTCAAGTGATATTACAATGACACTAACTCCACGGTCTAAAAACTGAGAGACATGATTTAAAGCCATACAGATGGTGTCCTGGCAGCCTTTTTTGTTGGTGAATCCATATTGAAGAGGATCGAGTACTTTATTTGCTTCTAGAAAGGATGTAATTTGACTACATAGAATTGTTTCGAATATTTTGTCGATTTGAGATAATACACTGATAGGACGATAGTTGTTGACTAAGGATGGATCACCCTTTTTAAGTATTGGAGTTACAATAGAGTGCTTAAGCCTGTTGAGATATTTTCCAGATCTGACCATTTGATTAAAAATGTTAGCTAGATGTACACACAATTGTTTGTTGCATCCTTAAGAATCCCTGCATTAATATTGTCATATCCAGTAGCCTTTTTGTTGTCAAGTGAACCAATTACAGTAAATATAGTAAAAGGAGTGATTTCATCAAGACAGAAAGTGTTCTCGACCAATATTCCTATATATCTATGGCTGGTAATGTTTGATTGGTGTCCACTAACGAATGAGAGAAATTTGTCCTGAAATGTATCAGCGATGCGTTTGTGGTCAACTAGCAACTCGTTGTTTTTGCCTATGATGACAATATTAGGCTTTTTTGAGACTCTACCAAGAATTTGATTAATAACTTTCCATGCGTCATAACGGTTAACTATCTCAAGTTTCTTAAAGTAAATTTTTGACTTTATGTCACTATAATTCTCACTAATCACTTTCAGATCATCATACTTTAGTTGAAGCATACTATACGGAGCCCCTATTAATTTTCTTTTCTCAATTTTTTCTTCCAGGTTGTGCAGCGTTCTAAGCATCTCTAAGTAGTGATCGTCCATCCAGGCAGGAACTGTTTTTACATGAGACGGCAATTTGATTGGAATGACTTCAGTTTGCTCATCAATAGATTGAGTTATGAGACTATGTATAGTTTTGAAGTTGTTTTCAACATTGTCATCAATAGGATCAATAACATATTCAGATAAGTATTTTTTCAAATTATTTATAGCAGCTTTATTATCTGTCTTCCTTTTAATTATTCTTTTTCTTTTAGGTGCTGTTCGTTCCATTTGCAACAACAGTATCATGAAATTGTGATCAGACATTTGCTGAATCTTAGTGGATGTCAATATAAGATAATTATTCAAAGTCTTGTTGGCAATAAAATGATCTATTAAGGATCCAGCAGCAGGAGAGAAATAATTATGTCTTGTAATTGCTGAGTTAATAAAAGACAAATTCAAAGATGATATGACGTCTGTATATTCATTTGTAGACGTATTATTGTCATCGAGTAAATTGATATTCATGTCACCTGTAATGATTAGCTTGTCTACATTAATTTGTGTGATAGTTTCTTCGAGATGCTTTAAGAATGAGCTAAGTGAGCCGTTGGGCCTGTAGATTGTAAGAAGAAACCATTCTTCACCATTCAATAAGATTTTTAACAATAGGAATTCAATGTCTTGATTAACGACTGAGCTAACAACGACAGCATGATGACTATCATTAACAAACAACATTATTCCACCGCCTTTCGTTCCAGTACTTCTATTGATATAATATTTGTTGTAGTTTTTAATGTTGAAGATATTAACTTTGCTATTATCTCTCAACCACGTTTCGGTGAGAGCTATAACATCTATACAGTAGTTTCGTTTGATTCCATTTGAGTTAATTTGGTGGGATTCTAGAGAGTTGAGCATGACTTTGGACTTTGTAGGGATTGAGGATCTCGTCCATTCATCCAAATATTGTTTTATCACGTTTAGTTTTTTTTGAGTTAAGCAATGAATATTCCAAGAGAGAATGTTGAATAGCGGTTTATGAGGAGGATTTGCTTGAAAGCAATCAGTCAGTAACTTACAGATTTTATTAAAATTTAAGTTAATCTTCAAGGACTCAACATGCATTTTGTTTAAGTGTGAGTTATATGGGTGTTCATTTAATATTGATTTATTGCTTTCTTGATTGTGATCATTAGAGTGAATAGACGAGTTTAGTTGTCAATTTGCTTGAACATTGATACCGCAATTATTCGAGTTAGTTGCGGTGGTGTCTGAATTTATGTTGTTGAGAACGGATGACTCCTTAATAAAGCCTTGCTTATAGTTATTACGTTCCATTGCATTCAGCTTGAAATATTCGCTGTTGTAGAATTGAAATGCAGACATTTCGAGACCAACATCTTTAATGGACGATCTAAGTTCATCCAAGTCAGACTCGGTTCGTATTAATGTTTTATGGCTTTCTTTAATAGTAGTATTGCTATCGGGCGGGTTCTCAGAGTTATTATAGTATACCATTATTCCAGCGTCACTCACATGAGCCTTTTGTATAAGTTTAAAGTTAGTGAGGTCATAGCATACACGGAGCAGTTTCCAGATATCAACACTCCAGTTATCTCTTATAATATATCGTATTGCGTCGTAATGTTTTGAGATGAATTGCTCTCTGGCATAGCTAAAGGCTAGTCGTTTTAGGTCTCGGACAACCCCGGAACTTATAAACTTAACTCCCATAATTAATTCGTTATCGTAGCCATTGCTGGTTTTAATAGAAACCTTGTTAATGAAAACATCAATAATTACTCGATTTACGCTATTCAACTGGATGTCCATTCTAGAGAAGATTTTTTTGGTGTCTCTGATTAACTCACTTTTAGTTTTCACTCGCAAATCATCTATTTCTTTTGGATCGGTGAAGCTCAACCAGATAATATTATTCTCATTGGAGCATTTTTGGGTAATTTCAAGAGCTTTTACCCTCTCGTCATTTTTTTCGATTACATAATTGATTTTCTTAATAACACTATTTTCCAGCTTTACTAATTGGTCATTTAAGTAATTGCAGCGAGAGACATAATCATTGCTCATTTTGTGGATAGATTCCTGAGTCTTTTTGTTGTTGTCAGACAATTGAGAGACGAGTTTCTCCAAAATTAAATGTGGATCCTCTTTTTTTTTAATCATTTCCAATGTACTGGCGAGATTTCTATCAAACTCGTCACATTGTACTTCAGTTAAGTCAAGACCCGATTCTGATGTATCCATACTTACGAACCGTTCTGACATCGTAGAATTTCTCATATTCGTATCAGGTAGAAAATCATTTTTTTCATGCATAACAGTATGATTTATGTCGACTGGATTAATTTTATTTCTGATAAATTTGTTGCCGTTGACGTTCCTTCTTGCATAATGTTTTTGTTTTTTAGGAGTATTAACCGCGATTTCAACTTCCGGAGGAGTTGGAAGCGATCGACGGCGTTTTTTAAAATCATTGAATGCAGTTCTTAACTCACTGTTCCAGATCCCTTCTGACTCTTGATTATTAGCGGTATTCATTGGCATGAAATTGAATTCCTTACTTTATATATAATATAAAAGATAAATTCAACCCAGACGGTCAATGACATGCAAATAATTTCAGAGTCAAGTCTATTTATTTTCCTGAAAGTTTTAAGAGCAAATTCTAGCAAATACGGACCCAATTATCAAAGATTTTGAACACAATTGACGATTTATTGGTAATTCTATCAATTAAATATATTAAAAGCAATAGAATGTGGATAAAAATCACTTAAATTAAAATTTTTTGATTGGAGACAAATTTTTGTTTTTGAAAATTACTACTAGTAGGAGGAATTAATTACACTTTTGTAATTTTGATTTCAAAGGAACTGATTTAAGAAAAGCTTATGATTTTGATATTCTAGCATTCTTTTTCATTTATTATATCTAGATATGTTTTAAAATGCAATTTAAAGCATTTTTGGTTTCGATTATAGAAGGCTATTTTCAGAAAGATTTCGATTTTATATCTATATTAGCATTCTTTATCATTTATTATATCTAGATATGTTTTAAAATGCAATTTAAAGCATTTTTGGTTTCGATTATAGAAGGCTATTTTCAGAAAGATTTCGATTTTATATCTATATTAGCATTCTTTATCATTTATTATATCTAGATATGTTTTAAAATGCAATTTAAAGCATTTTTGGTTTCGATTATAGAAGGCTATTTTCAGAAAGATTTCGATTTTATATCTATATTAGCATTCTTTATCATTTATTATATCTAGATATGTTTTAAAATGCAATTTAAAGCATTTTTGGTTTCGATTATAGAAAGCTATTTTCAGAAAGATTTCGATTTTATATCTATATTAGCATTCTTTATCATTTATTATATCTAGATATGTTTTAAAATGCAATTTAAAGCATTTTTGGTTTCGATTATAGAAGGCTATTTTCAGAAAGATTTCGATTTTATATCTATATTAGCATTCTTTATCATTTATTATATCTAGATATGTTTTAAAATGCAATTTAAAGCATTTTTGGTTTCGATTATAGAAGGCTATTTTCAGAAAGATTTCGATTTTATATCTAAATTAGCATTCTTTATCATTTATTATATCTGGATATGTTTTAAAATGCAATTTAAAGCATTTTTGGTTTATATTATAAAAAGCTATTTTCAGAAAGATTTCGATTTTATATCTATATTAGCATTCTTTATCATTTATTATATCTAGATATGTTTTAAAATGCAATTTAAAGCATTTTTGGTTTCGATTATAGAAGGCTATTTTCAGAAAGATTTCGATTTTATATCTATATTAGCATTCTTTATCATTTATTATATCTAGATATGTTTTAAAATGCAATTTAAAGCATTTTTGGTTTCGTTTATAGAAAGCTATTTTCAGAAAGATTTCGATTTTATATCTATATTAGCATTCTTTATCATTTATTATATCTAGATATGTTTTAAAATGCAATTTAAAGCATTTTTGGTTTCGATTATAGAAAGCTATTTTCAGAAAGATTTCGATTTTATATCTATATTAGCATTCTTTATCATTTATTATATCTGGATATGTTTTAAAATGCAATTTAAAGCATTTTTGGCTTTGATTATAGAAAGCTATTTTCAGAAAGATTTCGATTTTATATCTATATTAGCATTCTTTATCATTTATTATATCTAGATATGTTTTAAAATGCAATTTAAAGCATTTTTGGTTTCGATTATAGAAGGATATTTTCAGAAAGATTTCGATTTTATATCTATATTAGCATTCTTTATCATTTATTATATCTAGATATGTTTTAAAATGCAATTTAAAGCATTTTTGGTTTTGATTATAGAAGGCTATTTTCAGAAAGATTTCGATTTTATATCTAAATTAGCATTCTTTATCATTTATTATATCTGGATATGTTTTAAAATGCAATTTAAAGCATTTTTGGTTTCGATTATAGAAAGCTATTTTCAGAAAGATTTCGATTTTATATCTATATTAGCATTCTTTATCATTTATTATATCTAGATATGTTTTAAAATGCAATTTAAAGCATTTTTGGTTTCGATTATAGAAGGCTATTTTCAGAAAGATTTCGATTTTATATCTATATTAGCATTCTTTATCATTTATTATATCTAGATATGTTTTAAAATGCAATTTAAAGCATTTTTGGTTTCGATTATAGAAGGCTATTTTCAGAAAGATTTCGATTTTATATCTATATTAGCATTCTTTATCATTTATTATATCTAGATATGTTTTAAAATGCAATTTAAAGCATTTTTGGTTTCGATTATAGAAGGCTATTTTCAGAAAGATTTCGATTTTATATCTATATTAGCATTCTTTATCATTTATTATATCTAGATATGTTTTAAAATGCAATTTAAAGCATTTTTGGTTTCGATTATAGAAGGCTATTTTCAGAAAGATTTCGATTTTATATCTATATTAGCATTCTTTATCATTTATTATATCTAGATATGTTTTAAAATGCAATTTAAAGCATTTTTGGTTTCGATTATAGAAGGCTATTTTCAGAAAGATTTCGATTTTATATCTATATTAGCATTCTTTATCATTTATTATATCTAGATATGTTTTAAAATGCAATTTAAAGCATTTTTGGTTTCGATTATAGAAGGCTATTTTCAGAAAGATTTCGATTTTATATCTAAATTAGCATTCTTTATCATTTATTATATCTGGATATGTTTTAAAATGCAATTTAAAGCATTTTTGGCTTTGATTATAGAAAGCTATTTTCAGATCTGATGTTACGTCCAACAATGTCTACGTCGTCGGCAAAACCAAGAAGCTGAGTTGACTTTGTGAAGATTGTACCATTTAATTCCAAACCAGCTTTCCTGAAAACTCCTTCAAGCGCAATGTTAAAAAGCTTAGTTGACAGTTCATCTCCCTGCCTCAGACCAATCCTGCATTCAAACAAACTTGATGTTGAGCCTTGTACTTTGACACTACACATGACTTTCGCTAAGGTTGCTTTGAGCAATCTTATCATTCTATGCGGGAAATGAAACTCCGCCATGATATTCCACAGCCCTTCCCGATCTATTGAGTCATATGCTGCCTTGAAGTCAATAAATAGATGATGTGTTTCTACATTCATCTCATAGCTCTTCTGCACGATTTGCCGAATACTGAAGATTTGGTCAGATGTAGATCGCTGCCGTCTAAAACCTGCTTGATATTCACTCAGGAAAGCTTCTGTGAGAGGCTCAAGTCTTGAGGATAGAATCTTCGAGAGCACTTTATAAGCCGAAGGGAGAAGAGAAATCCCTCGGTAGTTCGAGCATGTCATCTTACATCCTTTCTTGTGAATCGGGCAAATTACACCGAACATCCATTCCTCAGGTAGCTTCTCTTCCATCCACACACGCTCAATCAGCTGGTGAAGAGTAATAACTAATTCTTCACATCCAGTCTTGAAAAGCTCTGCAGGTAAGCCATCTAGACCTGGCGCCTTATTATTCTTTAGGCCGCTGAAAGCTGCTGCTACCTCGTCTAATGATGGAGGATCAAATTCCTTCCCATCATCTTTCTCGTAAGGATGTCTAACATGCGAGATAACTCCTTCCGCTCCATCATTGAGAAGTTCACAAAAATGCTCCTTCCACCTATCCAGGACTCCATCCTTATCACACACAAGACTTCCATCTTTTCTCCTACATACAGAAACTCTCGCATGGAAAGATTTCTTAGCGTCATTGATGGCCTTATAGAACTTCCTGGACTCATTCATGCTGTGTGCTTCGTGGACATCAGAGATCACTTTGAGATCGTGAGCTCGTTTCTTTCTTTGCAGCACCCTCTTCTTCTCCTTTTGAAGCATCCTTATCTCATCCGCTTTAGCTCTCGTAACTCTTCCTTTCCTTGCATCGATGACCCGCTGGACAGCTTCCTCACATTCCTTGTCAAACCAGACATTCTTTGTGTGTTGTTTGATGCCAAGACATTTTTCAGCACTAGCCTGCATAGCTTCACAACACTGGTGCCATGCAGCTCCTTCATGTTCATGCATTGCTAAGCGTTCCTTTAGGTCCTTGTTAAACGCATCTTTGCAATCCTTGTTGATGAGCTTAGCAACATCATAGCGTTTACATCTCACGCCTCGTTCTTTGTTGATGTTGCTAATGCGGGCTCTTATTCTTACTCCCAACAACAAGTGATCCGTAAAATGATGCTCGATATCGGTCTCTAGACATCTGAAGCTACGAACGTCCATCACATCCGATGCATGCCTCCTGTCAATCAATAATCGATTTTATATCTATATTAGCATTTTTTATCATTTATTATATCTAGATATGTTTTAAAATGCAAATTTAAGAATTTTTGGTTTCGATTATAGAAGGCTATTTTCAGAAAGATTTCGATTTTATATCTATATTAGCATTCTTTATCATTTATTATATCTAGATATGTTTTAAAATGCAATTTAAAGCATTTTTGGTTTCGATTATAGAAGGCTATTTTCAGAAAGATTTCGATTTTATATCTATATTAGCATTCTTTATCATTTATTATATCTGGATATGTTTTAAAATGCAATTCAAAGCATTTTTGGTTTCGATTATAGAAGGCTATTTTCAGAAAGATTTCGATTTTATATCTATATTAGCATTTTTTATCATTTATTATATCTAGATATGTTTTAAAATGCAATTTAAAGCATTTTTGGTTTCGATTATAGAAGGCTATTTTCAGAAAGATTTCGATTTTATATCTATATTAGCATTCTTTATCATTTATTATATCTGGATATGTTTTAAAATGCAATTCAAAGCATTTTTGGTTTCGATTATAGAAGGCTATTTTCAGAAAGATTTCGATTTTATATCTATATTAGCATTTTTTATCATTTATTATATCTAGATATGTTTTAAAATGCAAATTTAAGAATTTTTGGTTTCGATTATAGAAGGCTATTTTCAGAAAGATTTCGATTTTATATCTATATTAGCATTCTTTATCATTTATTATATCTAGATATGTTTTAAAATGCAATTTAAAGCAT